CAAGATCTTAACAAACTAACCTTTCTCTGGAAGATTCTGTTTTCTTGCTGGGGAGCCTTTACTTACACTGACCGTTATATACATTCATAATATATAATGAAACAATTATACAACTTACCATCAATCATGTAGAATCAGTGGGAGCCCTGAGCTTGTTTTCCTGCAACTAGATGGGCCCTTTTGGGGGTGATGGGAAACAGTGACAGATCATAAGGCATCAGACTCTCATAAGGAGCGTGCAACCTCGATCCCTCGCATGCGCAGTTCACAAAAGGGTTGGTGCTCTTGTGAGAATCTAATGCTGCCACTGATCTGACAGGAGGCGGAACTCAGGTGGTCACGTGAGCAGTGGGTGTGGCTGTAAATAGATGATTCTTCCTATGTGGCACTGCTGTCATCTCTTTCTGTGTAGCCTGATTCCTAAAAGGCCATTAGCTCCTGCTGTAAGGTCTACATTTAAGCCACCACCTCCTCCAAGAAGGATTTTCTGTTTCTGCCAGTAGGATGCAGTCTAAACGTGGGTGCATACAGACCTCTCTATCCCTCCTTTCCCCACAAGGTATCCACCTTTTATTACCTGAAACAGTGGAAGCTTCCTGGAGGCAAGAGACCTGTCCATTTCTTCTTTGTGGCTTTGGCCTTGCAGTCTCTCCCACCCACCAACTGAGCCAAATACATCTTCTTGAACATAGGAGATTCTCAATGATAAGAGAACAATGGACTCCATATTGAATGTTATTCCATTCAGTAGGGGTAGAAATTAGTCCAAAGAAAAAGACAATTTCCAGCTAAGAAGATCACACTGAGTCCATCTTTTTTTTTTTTTTTTTCTTGAGACAGAGTCTTGCTCTGTTGCCTAGGTAAGAGCAAGAGATCTCAGCTCACTGCAACCTCTGCCTCCCAGGGTCACGCAATACTCCTGCCTCAGACTCCCAAGTAGTTGGGATTATAGGCACTTGCCATCACACCAGGATGATTTTTATGTTTTTAGTAGATATGAGGTTTCACCATATTGCCCAAGCCGGTCTCAAACTCCTGACCTCAGGTGATCCACCGCCCTGGCCTCCCAAAGTGCTGGGATTATAGGCATGAGCCACCAGGCCCAGCTGAGTCTATCTTATCTCTGCCTCAATTCCTTCTACATCCAGATTTCCCAACTCAGAGTCTCTGCATATAGGGCAGAAGGCATCATTTTTGAGGACCAAAGGACAAAAGAAGAAAATTATTATTTCAATTAAAGAGAGATGATCATATGAGCCAGCAATTTCACTCCAAAATACATACAGATGTGGAATGAAAATACACGCCCACACAAAAACCTGTATAGGAATGTTCATACCAGCATTATGCACAATACCTCAATGCTGGAAACAACCCAAATGTCCAAAAGTAGCCAATCACAAAAGCCAGCCTATCATATGATTCAATTTCTATAAAATATTCAGAACAGACAAATCTGTAGAAACAAAAGTTGAACAGTGTTCCCTAGGCCTGGGGGCAGGGGGGTAGTTGGGGAGAATGAGAGTTACTGCTAACAGGCTTGGAATTTCTTTACGGGGCAAGGAGAATGTTCTAAAACTGATTATAGTGATGGATGTACACCTCTAAACAAACTAAAAACCACTGAATTACACACTTTCAGTGGGTGAACTATATCTCAGTAGTTTTCAAAGAGAAGATCTATGTGGGAATCAATCAGATTCATATATTACTTGTCATTAAGGTGATATCAGATAGCACGAATGGAAATGACCAGGATTTGCAAAGTATGCCACAACTACACAATCTCAAAGCACACATTTGGAAGCAGAAAACAGCACGTTAAAAACAGTCAGTCAGTTGGTATTTACTGGCCTCAAAATGAACACAGAATCTGTTCACTGCAGAGTTTAGTCATTAAGAGAAGTGTTAACAAATAGATAGCGGAGAATATTAGGTTTATTGACAGCACCGAGTACCCTGTTACACGACCGTTTGTAGGTCACTTGGAGTTGAAAAGGCAGTACCTCTAGACTCACTTCTTGCTAATGACATTATTCATAGAGCTATTGTTAAGGCGATTAGTGGATAACATGTTTGTATTTATACAGGACCAGGATCTAAAAGCACTGCTAAGCTCATTTGCACAGACTTATTTATTTCATGTGATCTGGAAGGTGAGTAAAAGCGCTGACTTGTAGAGTCTTTCTGTTTAAGGGGTGCTACGATGGCTACCAAGTAAATGTAGAAAACGTCTGATTCTTCTCAAATGGCTGTGAAAAGTTAAACAGGATGGATTATGTTTTCCAACTTTAAGGCTTCATTTTGAAATAAGTTTCATAAAGGCATGATGACATCCTGGCAATGAATTTGGTTATTTTTGCAGATAAAAGTAAAAGTGTATACTGGGAACTAGCCCTCTATAATCCCTGCTTTGCATGATTTCTTCAAGGATATTGGGATTAATAAAGCAGACCTATGAAACCATGATTTTAATATAAAGGACAATTCAATACTCATCTCTCTATCTTCTTTTGAGACATAATCAAATTCTCACTTAGCCAAGTGTATCTCATTTGAATACATCAAAGGTTTAAGATATTGACCTACTTTTACAGAAAAAAAATATAAACTGTTTTAAATTTTTTTTTGTGGGTACATATGAGATGATTTGATACAGGCATGCAATATGAAATAAGCACGTCATGGAGAATGGGGTATCCATCCTCTCAAGCTTTTATCCTGTGAGTTACAAACAGTCCAATTACATTCTTTAGGTTATTAAAAACATACAATTAAGTTATTATTGATTATAGGCACCCTAGTATCCTATCAAATAGGTTTTATTCTTTCTTTCTATTTTTTTTGGTACCCATTAACCATTTCATTTCCATCTCCCCCATTAAATAAACTGTCTTTCTTTTTTTTTTTTTTTTTGAGACGGAGTTTCACTCTTGTTACCCAGGCTGGAGTGCAATGGCACGATCTCGGCTCACCGCAACTTCTGCCTCCTGGGTTCAGGCAATTCTCCTGCTTCAGCCTCCCGAGTAGCTGGGATTACAGGCATGCGCCACCACGCCCAGCTAATTTTTTGTATTTTTAGTAGAGACGGTGTTTCACCATGTTGAACAGGATGGTCTTGATCTCTTGACCTCGTGATCCACCCGCCTCGGCCTCCCAAAGTGCTGGGATTATAGGCTTGAGCCATCGCGCCCGGCCCAATAAACTATCTTTCATTAAACACAGGAAATAGTTTTTCAGTTATTTTGCCTTTTAAAGTCTCTTTCTTTTGTCTTCTACATCATTTGTAACTACCAACTTTTTCGGCTTTAGGACAAGTAGCACGACCCTGGTTTGATTTAGGAGCAACGTTTTGATCCATGCTTGGTTAAAAGACCTTTTAAAAGTTCTTTACAGCAGTGTCATTTAACTCATGACATAGCACACAGTCATGAACAAAAATGCCCCAATGAGATAACAATTGAAAACCAAACCCACAATATATTGGGCTGTACCAGGACAGGATATGAGCTCGAGAAACTGTTCAATTTTGGTATATGAAGCTTACATGAATAAATTAGCTACAAATAGAACAATCTTATTTTTGGAATACAAATTGTAGTTTTTTTGTACTTTACACACAATGCAAAATATAGAATATAGAATTCAGATTCTCAGCTGCAACCTATATTAACTACAGAGCCAACTGGTAGCGATTACCTTTACTAGACATACATTCATTATTTAATGTTTTTCCTTATTTCATTTCAACTTCACAATGTTTTAAGTGGCTAACATTGGTACAGCAGGTTAGTTGATGGCAACTGGCCATGTCCAGTTTCATCCGGTTCCACCATCACAAAACCCTCCCTGTATCTGGTATTTATGAACTGCCTCTCAGAGAAGACTGTCAGTGCTGGAGAAAATTTCCCTGCCAGGTGAGGTAAGAACATCATTGTGATATAGAAAGTAGTGCTTTTTAGAAGTCAAGGTCTCCTGGCAGTTCCTCAGTAGACTACTATGGCAGCCGCACTAGAGGTCAAGAATAATGAATTACATAAGGGACGTCCATGCGTTCAAACCAGAATCTCCTCATCACAATTCCCATAGCAACACACAAAGATTATACTCATCTCTGAGATGAAGCAGCCAGCAGAAATGCTATCCTGATATTTCTAGCATGATCAACAAGGCACTTACCCTTTTTCAAAACAATTTTTTCAAAGGAAAATCAACAACCATGTTAAAATAGGTTCACTGGGAAGCAATTGAGCATCCCACAAACCAAGCTACCTTCAACTTGAACGATCTGTGCTTTAGAAACAGCCACTATTCAAATGGCAGCATGGGAAAAAGAATTCAGATCATTGCAATTAGTGAAATGAAACACAGCCTGAGATAAATCCTGTAACTATCTATTTCATAGCTGTTATGCAGTCTCCTCTCTATACATACACATTTTATTAAGATGGGATGGAGGAGAACGTGTTCTAAGAGAAGAAACTTATAAAAAATCAATAAAATCCTCTGTTGCTTTTTGAAAAGCGTAATGTAATCCATTTTTAAACCAAGAGGATACTAATATAAGACACCTGTGAAGTACAATTCAGGGGAAGAGCTGTTCAAGTCTTAGAATATAAACATTAGCTGGAAGTCAGTTTTTTTTTTTCTTAGCAGAGATATGGTTTAATGGGGAAATGAAGTAACATGTGTTGATATCAGGTGCAGTTTTTCCTCTTTGTACATTCAGGGGTCCTTTTGTATGTGTCCAAATAAGCCATCTACCCACATAAACGAGTTGCTTGGATTATAAAACAACATAGAAGACCACGCTTACACACCTCAATTCCTTTTTCTACCAAGGGAAGAAATTATGCTCCATTTCCTGTATCTTTCTAAAACCAGACAATGAAATGCTCTAATAGACCAAACCAGGTTTAGGAGAAACTTCCACAGGTGGTCTATCAAGAGCACAGCACAACTTGCAAAGAAAGATCTTGGCAGAGAGGATATGATTTTACCTTTGCTTTTTCCAACTGTGCCTGGGCCTGCCGCTCTGCTTCTCTGCGCACTGCCTCCCGGTCCTCCTCCAGAGATACATCGGAATCGGATGGACGGCTAGTGTAGGAGTCTGCCGAACCCTGCAGAGGAAAATGTACATTTTAAAGTCGATTCAGTCTATGATGTTGGCACTGGAAAAGTCTCATCGACACAGCAGTTACCTTCCCGGATTGTGCTATGTGATCCTGAAAAGAGGAGAAAATAATTCATTTGGCAGTATCCTATCTAGAAAATCATGCTCTGGTTTGCAGACAATCAGTAGAATAGCTGTGTCTACTGCTTGCCATTCCTTCCTCAGCTTTATGTTCCAAAAAACTATCCTTCCTGGAAGCAGAACAAGTTGCTTTTAGAATTAAGCCAGCTTGATGGTGCAGTGCAGAACCGAAGGGCAATGATGGGCTTCAAGGATAGCTTCCAGAGCAATCTACGTGCTACAGCAGGTATTTAAAACTAGGAAGACATTCAGCCTAACAAAAACATAAAAGAAAGTCTAAGTTATAAACTTGAACTCTCCAAAATGTCACTACCATGATATGACTCCTACTCAAATCTGAAGAATCCTTGTTTACCTTTTTATACACCTGCTGTTTTTCTCTGAAAAAACTGCAAGACACCAGCAGCTAACTTTGCTCCATGTTCCAGCAACACATTTTAAAATACCTTTACCTAGATGTAATCAAAGCTGTCTACAGAATACACCTGCCTGGGAAAGCTCATCTGGCAATTAATCACAACGCAGTGAATGGAGCTCAACGAAACGAGAGCAATCTCCCTAGCTTCTTTTGCAATCGTGATCCGATTAACCAAATCAAACCACCCTCTCTACCTGCACTCACTGCAACCACAGAAAAGCGGAGACAAAACAACCTCTCCCCCAAACGAAAGCCCCTGCGCTTACACAGATATCAGAATTCTTCAGCCTTCCTCCCTTGGCTCTTTTCAGAAGCCTGATCCAGGTGGCCTTCATGAGCCAGACAGCGCCTTTAACGTCCGCAGCTGCAGCCCCGGGCACAGGTTCTCAGTGTGCGCTGAGCCCCGGAGAACCCCAGCTCCTTTCCTATCCATGCTCTGGGCAAGCCCCTCTTCTCCGTCCCTTTCTGCCTCTGGGGCTTTCACTCCCTGCCCCAGAGGACTCCCGTCCAGGGAGATTCTTATTTTCCCATTCCAGGACGGGCTGAAAACAAACACTCCAGTGCTTTATATTGCCTTAAAAATAAAGAACACTTCAAGTACATTCAAAGCCGGGCATCAACTCGTTCTAAACTTAATGCATCTCATAATCCTAAACATTCTCTTCCCTGCGCTCAAATTGTTAAAGGAAATTAGTTGTAAGAGAATCACAGAAAAAAAAAAAACGAGTGCAAAAACGTATGCAGTGACATTTGCAAGTGCAAAGTTCAAGCCTTATCTTTGGAGATCTCGGGGGGAGGGGGAGGAGGAGGGAGGAGGACGCACTCCCACACTGGGCATGCTCCATATGTCGCCCTTTTACGCAATGCTCACATCACACTGTTAGTCTATGTCAAATTGCCATTTTACATCCGAAGTGTAAACAGCTGGAAAGGTCTCTTCGGTTCTATAGTAACCGGGCTCGTGGTATGTGTGTGTGTCTGTTTCAGATAAAACCTTCTCTCAAAAACAAAGCATGTAATGGTTTCCTTTAATAATCTCTTTCCATTACCTGCTCCAGAAAGTGTGTCCTATGCTACAAGCAATTCACAGGTAGCAAATATCCTATGCAATACTGCACAGCAAAAATCAAATAATGCTCATCAGTCATAATATAACACAGTTCTTTATTGCTTGTGACTTCCCAAACAAGATGAGAGAGAGAGACGTGGCCATTTAATTAGCACATGAAGGTAATCACAGCTCTATAAAGCAATGAGTTTAACGGAGCTCAAAATGACTTCGAACTGCTTCTCCAACTGAGAAACTACCATTTGAAATAAAGCCACTGGCATAAACAGCAGTGTGAATTGTTATAACCATACTTACAAAGAAATTTCAAAGCTTGGTTAATTTATTAGTTGGAGTTAAAATTCACAAAATAATTGAATCCCAACTCTGCTTGCAGATGAGGTGAGTGAGGCTGAAGAAGGGAAGACACTAACATTATTAATTTTCTGTACTAATGAAATTACATTTTTAAAGTTTACCTGGGAAGAAATACACACTTTGCCTTCTCAATATAAACAAAATTCTATCAAAATATAAACGGCATTTGTTTGTGTGTGGTGGGAGAATATTTTGTACATATAAAAATGGAAAAAAAAAAAAGTGTTCCTAAGAATACTTAAGAACCATGGCTGGATGCAGTGACTCAAGACCATAACCCTAGCACTTTGGGAGGCCAAAGTGGGAGGACTGCTTGAGCCCAGGAGTTTGAGACCAGCCCGGGCAACACAGTGAGACCCCATCTCAAAAAAAAAAAAGTCTGCCTTCCTCCTCTTGTTCCCTTCTACCCTTCCTCCCTCCTGACCCTGCACTCTGCACTAATATAATCTTCAAGACCCAAATGCTAGAAAATATATAGAATAGGGGTCTCAGAATGAAAAGTTAGTGATCAATTGTACCTCAGTAGTGGTATCTTGACATAAATTAATAGATCACCTATTGTTATGATGTGAATGTAAAGTACATGGAGGATAAAGATGCATTGCAAGCTCTTTGTTCAAGCAAATTGATGAGGGAGAAATGAGTGTATCAACAGAGACACACACCTGGTAGAGGATTCCTAATCTTCCTAGAGGGCTTCTTACTGTAGTAGTAGCACAGCAGTGGGGGGTAGGGGGTTAGGGGAGGGACAAGAGAGGGTGTGGTGGAGAGGGATAACATTAGGAGAAATGCCTGATGTAGGTGATCAGGGGGTGGGGGAGAGATGGCGACAGCAAATCACCACGGCGTGTGTATACCTATGCAACAATCCTGCAAGATCTGCACAAGTACCTCAGAAATTAAAGTACAATAAAAAAAGAAAATTACCAGGAAGCAAAATTATACCCCATAAGGGGCCCCTGTCCCCACTGTCACCAGTCTTGCCATGTTAGACCCAATCACTCCACTACAGGTTTAAGTCACACCTCAATGAAAGGACAAAGTTTCTATCAGTAAGAACCCAGCAATGAGAGGAGGTACATAAAGAGAGGGCTGCATAACACCCACACTAATTTTCTCTGGTCTCATTCCTTTTTAAATAAAGTAAGATATAAAACCTCGTTTGCTAATATTCAGTTGGAACTTTTAGATTGCTTAGCTACGTTGAGGCCTGTTTCCAGGTTTAAACAGCAGTTAAAAACAAAAATCTCTTCAATGCCTTGACTATTTTATAACATAGGATGTGACTATGAATTAATCTTTAGAGTAGTTCACAGAAGCATAAAAAGAGCCAGATTACTTTCATTCCTTGTATCTCTACCAGCCAGTATATACTTTCATGTACACACTTTATTTTATTTTTATTTTTTTTGAGACAAGGTATAACTCTGTCACCCAGGCTAGAGTGCAGTGGTGCAATCATGGCATACTGCAGCCTTGACCTCCTGGGCAAAAGTGATCCTCTCACTTCAGCCTTCCAAGCGGCTGGGAATACAGGCATGTACCCCCATGCCTAGCTAATTTTTAAATTATTTCTTGTAGAGATGGGTCTTCCTATGTTGCTCAGGCTGGCTGGTCTCAAACTCCTGGGCTCAAGCAATCTTCCCACTTTAGCCTCCCAAAGTGTTGGGATTACAGGTGTGAGCCACCTCAGCTGGCCTCAAAATATTTTTGATAATAGAAGTTTTATGTGACCAGCAGTGAAACAGTGACAAAAATAACCATCCCCTGAAAGTCTCCCATCCAAACACAGCCACAGTTAAATAGTAGCATGTTTCAGCCTCTGGAGCTGCTGCAATGTTTGAAAGTCACCCTCCTGACATATGCCTTAGAGTTAATCTCCTTTCTTCTGGGAATGTGGATTTATGCAGTTAAAAGTGATATATCTAATTAAGCTTTTGCCTTTGGAACCATGTGGACTTTCTGGGTCATCGTGCCTCAAGTAGTCTTCAGTCAGGAACAGCTGGCGGTCGTTTCCATAACTCCGGGATAGGTTCATTACGAGATGTGCCCTTGATCACTATGGTTCTTATAATGTGACTACCGGGTCTTTTGCAGTATTTGTCCTTGTCAGTGCATCGAAATTCAGCTACTCAGATTTTCTTTTCTACATCTTAATATCTGAATTCCTATTTGGACATTTCCAAAAATGTAACCAATAGTTCTTCCCAGGATTATCATGTTTTATCCTCAGAGTTCTCACTTTCACGTTCATTGCTTTTAAGAAAATTTTGTATCATTGGATTAATTTATGCTTTTATTTACTCTTCAGTTTCTTTTTCTGCTTTTGTCTAATGTTCTCACAAGAAAGCGTCACCCTTTTTCTTTCTGTTTTTTTGAGACAGTCTCGCGCTGTTGCCCAGGCTGGAGTGCAGTGGCTCAATCTCAGCTCACTGCAACCTCTACCTTCTGGGTTCAAGCGATTCTCCTGCCTCAGCCTCCCCAGTAGCTGAAATTATAGGTGCGCACCACCATGCTCTGCTAATTTTTGTATTTTCAGTAGACACAGTTTTGCATGTTGGCCAGGCTAGTCTTGAACCTCCGACCTCAGGTGATCTGCCTACCTCAGCCTCCCAAAGTGCTGGGATTACTAGTTTGAGCCACTGCTCCCGGCCACCCCCCCTTTTTAATACGTTTTGAAATTCATACAGTTTGCTGTTTTGACGTGGGACTCGGCTGCTGCACAGTCATCTATATTTTCAGCATCAGGGTTTTGGAGCATTCTTGTCGTTTTCTCTTTAAAAGCCCAAAGGATAAGAGTTGTGAGCCTATTTTGTAGAGACCTCTTGGATCCCAAATTGTTTTCTCTCTTTCTGTAGGAAATCTTTATATGAAGTCTAAAGCCATGTTCTTGAGCAAAATCAACTTTTTATGTATCCCAAGGCCAGCCTGATTCTAGACAAAGCTATAACCGACCAAAATCCTCAAGATTTTAGACCACTCCTCATGTATAGGACAATGCTCACCCAATTGCAAATTCAAC